TGTTCTAACTTTTGATTTTATTTTTTGAAAACTGAAAATAATATTTTTTTCAGAGAGAAAATTTTTTTTAAACATTAGAAATAATATTTTTCATTCAGAGAAAAGATTAGTTTTTGAACAATAAAAATAATATTTTTTATCGAGAAATTTTTTTTTATCATGAAAGCAAATTTCATCAAGAAAGAGAGAGTTTTTATATTTCTATAAGTGACACAAGCAATTTTTTTAATTTAATATTCCGTATAAATTACTTATTGAATAAATATGACGTGCAATATGTGATCATCAACCGATTTGCACGGGGAAGCATGAGGTCAATATTTAGTAATTTTTTTTAAAATTCACAACGTGAAAATTCATTATTACTATGTCTTAGTCAAAAATGCAGACGAATTTTAGTTTTAGTTTCAATCGGTGGATGATAAATTTTGATCAGAAAATTCTAAAATTAAGGTAAATTATGAAGCAAGGTTGAATAAAAATAAAGAATATTTTAAAAGCGGATTTTGAGGAAGTTTCACATGATCAAGATTATAGACTCATCTGTGAAAACTGTTATTATGATCGATTTGACTCTTCTGAAGCATTCAAAAGGATCCTTTCAATATGCTTGTTCTAGTCAAGTGATTGAAATGTGTTAGAGGAGTCGGTAGTATTATTTCGATAGGTGATTTCTCTCGGAGTACTCGAAACTTCGATGAGTACCTAGGTGTCGAAATATATGTGACGAGTCGAAAATGAGCTGTCGATAGGATACAGTGTCCGAGTGAGAAGAAATTCGATGGGTGTCGAGAGGATCGAAATTAAAACAGAACGAACAAAATATATATGTATCAAATTTTCGACCGCTCCTCGCGATCATCTTATGATTTTATTGGCCTGCTTGGGTTATTATAGACACGGACAAAAAGCAATATGTTATCGTTGATGGATAGGATAAAATGACAACGTGAATGATAAAATTTTGAAAAAAAATAGGTGAAATATGCCTTACTCATCGTTTTATTAAGCAGCATTTTTGTAAGTTATGAAATCAGTTTGTGTAAATATTTGATGCAGTATAAATGGTAGTCTAGCATCATCGACTCGATCAAATTATCCCATAATAAAGCCATTTTATCAAGCTACTATATATTTTCTTACTAATGAATCGTCTTTCTTGCGGACAAGTAACTTTGAAAAAAATATAAGAATCAGAGATGGAACCGGTCGGTCCGCCGGTACTGGTTCCATCTCTGATATACGTATTGACATGCGTGAAATGACAGATCTCTGTAATAGAGAGGGAAGACAATTAAAAATTTCTGAATTTATACAACTATTATCAAAGGTTTGAAAGTCGCTGACAATGACGCCTATAAGACAATAATAGTAGATAGTTCATACTAACAAATTCGAGACAAATAAACAATACAAACTAGATATATTCATATCTAATAAGGAATTTCCTCGAATAATCCTGTCTGACCATTTCATAGTCGCAAACTCTATTTTTTTTGAATTTTAAGCTAATTTTAAAAATATTTTTAGCTTTTAATAGTAATACGGATCACTAATATTTGCTCATTGAATGTTTATTTTTTTAAAAACAGTCAAGAACATTCTTCTAAAGTAACGAACTACACGTTGATAGAAATATTCGATCTTGATGAAATTATACTGAATAACTGTTGAACTTAATTTTCGTATAATATCAACATCTGCTGTTTCTATACGAAGTTTTTATGTTTTAACTTTCATATAAATTTGTCACACAACAGCGTATTACAAATTTAACAACATGGAGTTTCATAAAACTACACAAGTACACGACGAAGGGTAGTTTAAGGGGACCCCCCCCCCCTCAGAAACGATTTTCCACTTTTGACGGTCTTTTCATGCTGAAATTTTCAGGGATGACTGATCTTGGTGAGATATACTTCGGGTAAAAATTTCAGCTCGATTGGTCATACTAGACAAGATTTCCAGCTGATTCATGAGTCATTTTTGGCCTTCAGGAGAATTGGTATAACTGCGTCATAAGAAGAGGTAGAGAGCTCGGGCTAGTTTCAAATTAAAATACATGTCAGTATGCAACTTTTGTCCGAACAGAATTTTGATATTCCGTTCTATTTGTTTTTTATGAGCATTTTAGTGCGAGGGTCTCAAAATTAGCATAAAAAATGGTAGTCCAACGACAGTAAATTCTACTTTTCTCAGCCCAGGAACCAACTTTCAAAAATCCGTTCGGACAAAAGTTTACTCTGATCAAGACCTTTAAAACAAAAAAAAAATATTGGTAATAGCTCAAAAAATGAGGGAGGAGTTCCAATTTTTCTGATTGGAAATCATGTTCTGAGAAAAACCTTAAAGAAGTTTTAGAAGTGGTTTTTTCGGTCAAATTCAAAAAACTCATATTAAAATGGCATATTTTCAACAAATTTTCTAAAACTATTTTAAGGCGCGTAAAAGATGCAGTAAAACTAACGCCATCTGACATGCGGGTTAATATCAAAATGTTCTATTCAATGAAAATTGAAGTAGTAACTGAGTTTTTCTAAAACTGAAATTTCTCCGAAAATATGATAGGGAAGTTAAAGTCTGATTTGACAAGTCTTTGAAAAACGGATCATTTTCCAAAAATCTATATATATTCTGAAAGAGGAAGCTTCGCTCTATCTTCCTGTGGTAAAAACTCAATTTCGATATTGTTTGGAAAAAAATCGATTTTGTGAGGGGGGGGGGTCCCCTTAAAAAGAAATTATATGTATACAAATGATTGACTTGGCAAAAGATGTTGATTGAGAGAGTTATATATATTTAAGATTGAAATCTTCTTTTCTAGAAAAACTCATTCAAAGATATAGTGATAGATCTGAATCATAGTTTAGTATAAGCCAAATCCAGATCTACACTAGATTTCAAATAAAAGCCGTCACATAATCTTCGTCCAAGATGTTATTTGAAAAACTTATCTAAATATGTTAGTCAAGTAAAAGAAGTATTGATTATTAATAACGATATGCGCTGAAAGTTAATACAAGATATATCTGTGACTAAACTAAATTGTTAATAGATATCGGTATGTGAAGAAAAACTTCAAGACTTGACAGATTGTTTTTGTATGTAAATAGTTTAATCAAACAAAATGTGTCATATTAAACAAACTATTTTTTATACTTCAACAGTTTTCGATATCTATTGTTGATTATGTAAATCTTAAAGTTTTTCTGTCACTAAAGGGCATTTTTAGGTAAAAGCTATCATTGTCTTGATACAATATAAAGATGTTGTTTTTCAGATCTTTAGCAAAGTCAAAGTATTTCTCATATATCGACTTTTGCTGAAGGATACTTTTTTTAAATACAAAAATCTTTATTCAATTTCTTTTAATCTCGACTGAAAACTTAAATATAGGCTTGCGGAAGATTGGCAACTGGACAATAGTTATCCGTCAAATAAAATGTTTTTTTTGTGAATAATTTATCCATTAAATATTTATTAAAGGGTTCACTGATTCTAAAATAATTCGAAAGTTACTAACTTTTCCTGTTTGGCTGTAACTAAATTAATTTTATGTACAAAGAATGTAACAGTTAGAAAGTACGGTTTTTCGTTAATGTATAGTAAAAAACTTTCGTTGATATACGAGAAAGATTTTCTCAACTATCTTTTACAATAAATATTCAATCATTCATAAAAATTAAATGTCATATTGTTCAAGTTGATATTGTTTTTTGAGTTCTTCGATAGTTGCCTTAGCATATTTTTCATTATATTCTTTTAATTCCTTGTAATAATCTTCCCGTGCTGTATTATAAAGATTACCTTTAGCTGTTGATATCGCATCATTTGGCTCTGGTTCGGAAAGCAAGCCAATAATTTGCTTGAGTACATCATAGATAATTGTCTGGTGTGTCCAGTGACTACGTAAGATTTCATGACAGATTAATCCATCATCGCTGATATTACAATGATAAATGGGCGTGACAAATCGAATGTCTGGTGGTCGAAAAGGATAATCCTGTGAAAATTCAACAGACAGAAGCCATGTATAGCCATAGTAGTAGGTATCTATCGGACCTGTCATGATGAGTTTCCAAAAAAGGGCATTATCGTTACAAACAAAGATGGTAAAGTTTTCTAGTGGTTTTTGCTTCAAATTGTTTGCTTCACGTAAAATACGACTTATAATTCGATTTGATACTGGTATATCTTTTACGGAAGCTCCTTGTAAATTTATTGCTGGAACATGGAGCGCTTTTGGTTGACAAAGTTTTGGCTTTTCAACAACCCCATCGATATTTTCAGCGCGAATCTTCACAACCATTGTCGGTTCTCGCTCAAACAAGGTAATTAAGTCCTTTTCTAAATGTGGTATCGGAAAATAATAATATCCTCTCGTCGATTGGCATAGATGAACAAGTGAAGTTGCTTG